CAATGGGAGCATCTCGTAAATTTGAAATCTGTACGGCTTCTACATGTTTAATCGCGGACGCAGTCTAAAAGGCATTATTTTGATCGGCGTCCGTTGTCCTACGGCGGGATACGTTTTCCAGCGAAAGACTACCAACTATCAGAACTGAGCAGTTACAGAATATTCACCCAAAGTAAGAGTGATGAGTTACAGCGAGCGTGCGAATTACTCTGCTATTCGTACAAGTAAACTGAGCCACGAGCTATATCGCGAGTTCCGCTACCATAAGCAATATACACAAATTTTTGAGAGTCAAGCTAGAGTTAAGTTACGCTATAGCTCGATAACTCAATAATAACTCGCGTTAATAAATAGTTAAAAATGGCTGCACAGGTCTGCCATCAATCAAGACGACTTTTATTACTACGTGTCTGCGTCCGTGATCGAACTGCAACGTTAGATTATACTTCGCCTTTCTCATCATTTCAATCAATTTATGGTGTAAATCAACATCTCAATCACCCAACCGAAATGACAGGGCGGTTGCATGAGCAACCACAGCTGACTGAAATGCAGTCGACGCTCTACTCTGTAGTTGTCCTCGGCGAAATGTCGGGAAGTCCTGTACATTGCAGTTTATGCAGCGTAAGCAGTTTATCAGCGACGCAATCTATGCAGTAAAACCAGTAAGGGAAAAGTGCTCTGCGGAAAAATTGCTTCGTAGTGATTGTTATGGTTTACTAAATGAACAGTAAGCGTTCACACAAAATAATGTGGTGCTGTGCTCCAGAATACTGTTTGCACGGTTCTGACAAGGCAAATATGAAATATCTATACTAGCGGTGGTTGCGAACCACATTATTGCACGAGCGCGAGCGCCAGTACCACTGGGAAACGGTATTGGAATTGTGGAATTGGAAAAGCGTGACGCACGCTCTTCGTGGCGTCAGACAAATTTTATGCCCTTGACGAAGACTTATTGCAGTACTTCGCGCTTCGCGCTCGGTACAAACTAGTGCGTTCAGTTTCAATATACAGTAAGTCGTAAGAAGATGCGGAGTTGTTTAGAAAATAACGGCCCCCTCCGAAACATACTGTTTGAAAAATAGTACCACCCCCGGAAATAAGCCACCCTACTCCAGGACCTTCGAACTATTTGGATTCCTAGGGTGCAGATTCGATAATTACGGTATTTATGACGAAGGTCTTATCATTGCGTAATCACGCACTCATCATACTAGCTGATCACATACATAAAGAAACGAATAATTATAGTACTGCTTATGACTATATGACAGCTTCCTGCTGCTACTGATGTTGACTAATTACTACCATATCATTGTTACGAACATATTCGACACGTTCACGGTCCTTTTAAGCCCTCTGGACTGGCAACTCTCTGGATCCATGCGGTAATTCCAGCCAAATCAATCGGCAACGTTGGTAGACTCGCTTCCAGCACACGGTACAGATCACCCCGCACAGTCGATGGATGCAGGATTAAGGAATACGAAATTAGGTTTTCCTTGGGGTGACAAGAATTCCACCTGTGCCAAAACCATGGAGCGAACGTGCAGTCCTTCCACAGCACAACGCCCACCGTCGATGCCACAGCGGCGCAAGTGTCAGCGACACTGCATATTAATGGGTGGAAGTCATCGCACATCTGCCAGACACATCGCTCAAACACCACGATCAGTTTCCGTTTCGGAGATGGCCGCAATGCTTCCCGGACCACATGGATGAATCGCAGGCAGTCGAACATGTCTGTGACGTCGTCTGAACTTTGCAAAGGCTGCCGTATAACGATCCGTTCCGTCGCGGCGGTAATGCATTTCCATAAACTTCTAACCACCGTGACAGTCCCCCCGTGCCTTGTCCTCGGCAAATGCTGCGAATTCAGGTTGAAAGGATACCCGGATTTCTTTGGAGTAGTACTGCTGAGTGAGCACAGAATTCCACAGCATGCATACGCGACGAACCCGCAGCGACTTAGCGCTGTCCAGCAATTGCAGCACTTGGCCGATAATTTCCCCCGGCAGCATTGGCAGACATGCATCCGAATCCATCGACTCCCGTTCGGTGTTCCCAGAACCTGGTTTGTCGTCTGGCGGAAGCCAGTCCGAAGCGGAAAACGTCCAACCCTGGTTGGTGCGTTCCACCAACTCGTCCCGAGCAAATTTTAGGTACAGTCCCTGTTGTGAAGTGAGCAATTTATCTGAAACGCTTCATGAATCACAAAATCTCTCAGCTTACGAAACAGGCGAAGCACTAATTTACTAGTTGGCGCTTGTTAGGTTTTCTACGGTGGCATTATATTTATCGCCAATCAAAGTTTAGTGCTTAACAAAGGAGAATGATTCAACGATTTATGGAATCGGAAAATTGTTCAGCTATTTTGCAGCTAAAACTACTTTCAAAATACTAGGTGGAACTGTAGAACGAGGCTAAAATAAAATAATCATACTTCGAACTAGTTCGAAGTATACAACTAACTGCACAATTTAGCACTACTATTAGTCGCATGCTCACATAGCCCTGTATGCTGAGAAGCGGCTCACGTACAGCGACGAAGGCTTTCAAGGATTTTCAACACTTTGCGCCGTGGTGCAGTGGTGCTGCCTACGCGTACACCGACTAGGTGCATTAAATAGTCAAATCTAGAAGAAGAAAAGCCGCCTCCGTGTGACAATAATACTGTGTGAAAATAATACTGTTTTTTTTAAACCTGCAGTGCATCTGTCAACTTGATAAACATCGCTACACCAAAAACAAATTTTAAGATATTTTAGCCATTCAGGCCTCACTTGTCAGCCCTGTGCTTATTCTTACCGCGTAAAAGCCATTCATCTCCCTGTGATTCTGCCTATGCACGCACGCCAATGCTTTTCCAATGTGGGACACAGGATACGCCTTTCGTTCGGCCAAATTCTTCTTCCAAATATTCCACAGCGAAGCCGACATCGGTCCATCGTCTGTATACGGCGCCGTTAATGTGTAAGATTCAACCACGAAATCACCAGAGCGAACGGTGCGCTCCAGTAAAGCGCTCTTCGTCGGCACAATTCGGACCGACTGGATGGGAACCCATTCCTGTACGGTCAGTGCGCCGCACTGCACTTCAATGAAAACGCACGTTGTGCCGAACATGCGGGGAACAAGAAACTTGGCTGGATACCATGTCCACGGTTGATCCGCCGCTGTTCGCGTTAAAGCCTGAATTTTCTCGCTGGAACCCGCACGCGCTGCCTTCTGCAGCGCCCTGACAAGATTCCTGAAAACCTCGATCGAAGTAGGTACGTCTCAAATTCGATGAAAGACGTTCCCGAGTGAGCAATGATCCATAAACTGTGCACGGTGTCCGGGATAGTCGAAATCCAGGACGTAGCCATTATCCGTGACATTGACGACCAGTGCATGCTGCAGCTGACCGTCGTCAGCCAGCACGTCCACCGCATTCAAACTGGCCACTCCGGAAGTTTTGAAGAACAAATGCATCGTAATTAATGTCTGGGCAAAGTGCTGTTCGATTTAGTCAAAATGTTGTTTGCTTAAACCAGATTTAATGGATTATTTCAGCGTTTCAGTTAGCCTAAGTGCGAAAAACTTTTGCTGGCGTACTCGCCATGACCCGCAATCAAAATTAAAGTGCGATTAAGATGAACTGGCATTGATTTCCAACACGACTGTCTGCCTGCGGAGTTGCGGTTCATTTCGTGTCATTGCTATCTTAAATTTCGTTTGTATTATGTAAACCGGATATCGGTCACAGCGCAAACTGAAATGAATGAATAGAACAGGTGAGTACAGAATGCGTTATCACAGCTCAAAAGAAAACGTAAGGCTTAGGGTAAGTCCTATATTCGAACAGGATCTGCTTCGATGCAGCAAGTCCACCTCTCGAAAAGGGCTTCGCTAACCGCATCGAGGCAATGCATGCCCTTGTAAAACGTAGTTCTGCTTGCAATACTGCCGTAACTGGAAAGTGCGCCAGTATGTTCTGAAAAGGTTCTGCTTGGAAACAGATGGATGTTTTCGCATTTTTTGTTGCATATAATCAGCTCCTGACCGTGGCCGGGCGCTTAAAAATATCGGATGTTTTGATCCTACAGGATACCAGCTGATAGCTCCCACACGGCTATAGTTCAAATTTATTTATCACGAGGCAATAATGGCAACTCTCTATACCCTGGAGATTACTTAACTGAACAGTGGCTATTCGTAAAATTTGACGGATAATAAAAGGTCATGGAGCGCTTCTGCAAATAACGTGAGTTTTTTTGTGAAACACTGAAAATGAATCACAACGATAAATCCGCTGCATGACAACTTAACAAAATTTAAAAATCGCCAGTCATTCAAACATTTTCGAAATACATCCTGAGTATTATAGCGTTAATGTGTACGTGACTAATCAATGTACGAGTATAGTATGAGTAACTAACTGTGTGAGTGTAATCTTAAATCAAAAAACCTATCCCATTTCATTTAGCCTTACCTAAACACTCATTGTTTCTTCGCCTATAAAATGGCAGTCTGTTACTGTTTACAAAAGGGATTCAATTCCATTCTAACGACTTCTTACGAACGATCGAACGACCGAACGTTATTAAACTACTGCCAAAACCTGTTGTTGTTGCGTTCCCTTTATCCTCGTTATTTCTACACCATCATAGTGATTACAGTTACGGATAGTTTGGCGACTGGGCCGCCGGAAAGGCAATCCAGTACGTAGCGTTTTAGTCTACGTTGTAGTATGCTATCACCAGCGACGAGTACCAAGTGTCATGTAGCCATTTAAAACATGTAGAAACGAAAGTGCCGAGCGATTGATTTGTTTCGGCTATTCGGTCGGTACATATATTCGCCATTGGCACTCAGCAATTAATAGGACCCGTGTAGTGAAATTTTACTGTCTGCCGAAAACAAATGGTAGCTAAAGAATCAAAATCTCGAGAAATTACACGTGCGTTAAATCATAACAGAAACGACAATACAATACTCGAAACCATACAGCACTGCGAGGAAACTATCCCAGTCAGTCAAAACGAAACGGTTACCCTACTGTTCTGTCAGAAGCAACTACACAACAAACTAATCAGTTCGCTAGACAAGGTCAATCGGCTTCTTCTTCACTCCTCTTTGAACTCGGAACTGACTCTTGAATCGCATTCTGCACAGTACCCTGATCCGTGGATGTCAAACGCCAGCGCCGCATCCGGTGCCACAAGACATGCAAGCAGAATTTGTTCAGCTTGCGGACGTCAACGCCGGCCACATTTGACAGTGTCCATTTGTAACCACGGTAATGCGCCGATGGACGTGGATCGCAGGTTTGATAATCCTTCAAAATCTGCAGAACACCCAACTCAATGAGCGCGTCATTGTAACACGTAGTAAATTTTTTACAATTATTTACAGCAGAAGCGAATGTTATTCAAAATGGGTTTTCAGGCTGCATACGGACGACGCTTCGTACACTAACAATTACGCATAACCAGTGCGTTTCGCAGGCTGAAAACTGAGTTCAGATGCTTGACGGTTTTAAATATCAAAGTTTTAAGTAAGTTTCAGCGTATCGCAATGCATTAAAACGCACGCTGAGTTTGAAAAGATAGATTATGGTAAGGAAAGCAGGATGGAGCGCTTAGGTAAGAGCAGACCCTTACAGCTCATTTAGGCCAAATGTCCACTCGCTTAGCTAAAGGGCCAGTTATCATGTGTAAACAATTTTTTGTGATATCACAAGCGCAAAAACCGGTATGTACGGGAAAACCATTATTATGGCCTTTTTCACCAGAATAAAAGGTCACAGTTTCTACAGATGCTTGAATTAATTCCGGTAATGTCAAATCCCAGTCAATACGGTGGCTTCACAATTACCAACGTCCTTTGATAGGTTTCCACTGCACAGAACTACTAATTCCTTCGCAGAGGTGAAAAGCATTTCGAAATGTGACGCTCTAGCGGCATCGTTCTGATATTAAACTGAATCTTGACACAAGTAGATACATAAGACAAAGTTACCTGTTTCACTTGATTGGCTCTCGTTTCGGTAATAATCAGATGCGTGGTGCAGTTGGCAATGCGTTCAACGTCTATCGCTGGCTTGGTGTCACACAGATGCCTCTCGCACACATCCCAGATCTGCACTTTGGCGGCGCTGGCATCGTTTCCCAAGATGAAGACCACAGACGGAACGCAGCATTCCATGACGCTCTTATGGCAGCACGATTTCCATTTCACCGCATAATCTTTCCATATCACGCGTCCGCAAGAGGACGCTAGCCGTGTATGCTGAGCGGCTATCATCGCAAACATCACTCTCAGTTTCAACGGCTCATTTAAATAGAAGTTGATGGTTGTCGTTCGCCGGTACAGGATCAAACGGTCGATACGGACGCCGACGTCATTCAACGTTTTCTCAAGGAAGGTCAACGGTTGATCGTCATACCTGAACCGCTGCAGATCGACGCTCTCCAATGAATGCTGACAAACAACGACGGTGCGGGTGGCCGGCGTGATGTGCTTCATGATGCAGCCGAATACCGCGTACTGAATTCGTGGTGACCAAAAACTTATTCGTGCCAACGACACACGAACCTCGGCGCGCAGCTCGGCGGTAGAGAGCAAGGCTTCCCACAGATGACAGGTGCGTCGGCAGCACTGTCGGTCCATGGTGTCCAGTGAATGGAAGACCTCCTTCAGCACTTCAAACGGCAAACCGCGACTGCCGGCGTCGAATCGTGTTTCGTCCTGGGGCTCGTCGAGCACTTTTTCAACATCTTTAGAACGCAAGCGCTTAAGCTCGTGTCGGAAGTTCCGTCGCTCGTTTTTTAAGCATCTCTCCTGTTTCAATGAAATAAATAGCCTGAAAAACTTCGGATTTGATCGCCTTTCGATCAGTCTGGAATATACTCTCGCTTCTATCAAATAGCGCAGGGTATCTAAAATTCTGTAATTACGTAACTCTGTTCCTGAAAATCTGTCAATGTCCTGTATCGCTTATGTTGCGAATTTATGAGCGCGACTGTAGCCGGCAGATCCATAGACCTGCTGACTGTTGGCGAGCCCGGCAGGAAAGGGTCGGGTCGTCAGAACTGTGGGAGCAGTTCGGCAGATCTATGGGAGGAAAACCACTTTCCTGCCGGGCTCGCCACAGTGAACAGGTCGATAGATCTGCCGGTTACAACCGACGTTTCGAATATGAGAACCAATCAGTTCAGAAAACAAACTTCATTTTGGTAAAACTTTATTAAGAATCCGAGTGGATCTATATATGGCTCGGGAGGGGAGTGCTTAAAACTAGCTGTTTAGAAGCAGACTAACCGGAAACATACGGCTGTTCTGGCAACTACCTACTCTTAGGAGGCCATCACAGGGTTGTATTTACATGGGATGACCTGTTGTTAAAGACGCTTGCTCAAGCGTTCGGTCACCAAGCTCCTTCGAGTACAGAGGCACGATAGCCAATAGCAGCATCAAACCCGCTAACGCTCGCGGGGCTTTTGCAGGGCCAGCTTTTCGCATCGAAAGGATGATCGCCTTAGATGCTCAACAGTTAGTCCGTGGTATATTGGCTAGGGTACAGATAGGTATGTCAATTTCGCTGCCCCCTCTTTAAGTTCACAAGTTAAGTTGAAGTTTCTTCAAAATAAAGTGCGCAATTGCGTAAGGAAAACGTTGCATTCTTTACATGGAAGTTTTGTCATTCATAACTGCAACTATCACGGCTAGAACGATTTGGATCGCTCCCATGGCCGACGTGTCAAACGATAGATCGAGAAAAATTTCAACAGACAACCCGTTATACTTACAAGTTCCTGCTTGACTAAAACATTTTTCATAACAATTATTTTGAGGTTTTTAAGAACTTTGCCAACTCCATGATGCTAAAATTAATAGACGGAACCGAAATAACTTAAATTAACAACCCTAAAAGTGGCGAGCGAAACGCTGGTTTCGAGGGGGGTTGGTGAAACTCGCACCAATGAGGGTAGTAATACGTAGAATTGTCGCCAAAAAAACTTCCCAATGTACCCTTTTTTCAGAACTTTTTTTAACTCAGTGTTACGGGTGTGCTTTGACGCGGGGATACCCGATACCCCTTCAAATTTCCCACTTACTGCATCTTCAGCCGTCAAGGGACGAACGTCGCGTTGTTGCAGGTAGTGCATTTCCCCACTGAGAATGGATGTCACCCAGAGCTGGAACTCGTGTTGAAGTTCCTTGATCCATTGTTCTGTCAACGACCGCTTCAAGGCCCAAAAACCGTCGGGCAGACCACACGTTCGCAGTACGAAATGTCCCGGTTGAAGACGCCTTTGTTGGATTTCTTCCAAGGAAAAAGGGCGGCGAACCTGGTGCCTGGGAAGGAGCTCGCGCATACCATGTCCATCTGTCTGCACCTCTACCAGCTTGGCGCATCTACTTAAGTACGTAAAGCTGTCAATGAGAACTGTCCCGGGAAACCATTTCCAGGGACGATGGGGGTGTTCGAACAGCAGCACCTCCACATCGGATCCCGCGGGTGTAAGACGGTAGTGATCGGCGGAGCAGGCGACAACCCTCTCGTATTCCACTGGCACGGATCGCTGTGTCGGGCACGCGAAATCGACAACCAGGCGCGGCGGACTTCCTGGGGTTTCTTCCAGGCCGATAACGTGGCCGTGCTGTAGCAGACCGTCAATCTCTACGTCCACAGCGTTCCATGTATACACAGACCGTTCACCATCTTCGTACAGATACATTCTCAACTATCGAAGTCTCTGATTGTGAGGCCGTGACAGAAAGCAAAGAAGCTCGTGCTGTGACAGTCTTTAGTCTGCCAAAGATAATTTGATAGTAAGTTTTTAAGTCGTGAACCCGAAGAAAACAGGCAAGCATACCTTGGGCCCTATCATGTAAAAATGAGTATCTAGGAACTACGAAATGTTCTGAGTGAAGAGCAATCTTGTTTTCTACGCATGTGCCAGATCAGCGCTTGGCGCTGATCCCACTGGCTGACAGTGGCTGTAACGTAACCACTGACTGGGGCGCATGTGGCTTGTCCGCTATCCACTATTACATTCGTTCATTGCGTACCGCTGTCCAGATATTTTCGGCAAGTATTACGAGCACTTTTCTCCCTGTTGTCAATTGATTTCTGACCTGGTTACACTTCTATATTGTACAAAAACTTAAAGAAAATTACTTAATTTAATTTATTTACTCTGCCATCTTCCTCGGTCTTGGGCTTGCTCTGGCTGTGCTTTTGCCGTCTCAGAAGAATATGATGGATGCGGTGGCCAAGGATGGGTGCGCGCAGCGGCCAAGGTCGAAAAGAGGAGGGAATAAATAAACTAATAAAGGAAGGAATGTACTGTATTTTGGTCAAAAAGAGAACGGAATAAAGAAGGAAGGAAATTTCATGGTCATCAAAAGGAAGGAATGTTTTTTGGTCAAAACGGGAAAGGAAATTTCGGTGGTCAAATAAGGAATGGAATTTTTTGGGTGAAAAACTCAAACGCAGTTCATAGGGGGCGGAAATGGCACAATGGTTTCTGAAAACCTTCTTCTGAGATAGCAAAGAACAATGTATGCAGACTGCCGGTTTGATGCATTTTCAGAAACACTACTGTTAAGTTTTGCTTCTAAAAATCGCCCGTACTGGGACCACCCGAACCGTTCTCGTATAATCTCATTAACCTGGCAATGCCCGGGGTATCCAGGAATTTTTTGTGGAAGTTGAAATTCATACCATAGATTAACAATAATTTATCGAACTTAAATTAATTTTTTCAAAATTTATCTGCAGTAGTTTAAAATTTGAAGGCTAGGTGCAAATTGCACCACTTCGGCATGACAGCAGCGCTTTTCTACAGTGTGGGAAAGGTGGTTGCCTGTGCGACATGGAGCAAATTACTTCGTACATAACTTTGTTACAGTCCGATTTACTCGAATCTGTTTCCATTTGATAGGCCCTGGTTGTAGTTAGCTTGTGCGCATTAATTCATCGTCCACAGACTCATTGCTGAATTTAAAACTGAAAACATTTGCAACTTCCGGTCGGTATGTAGCAGGGTCGGAATGGGCTGCGCCAAGTTACTTGTGCACCAAACTGTGCACGGTCAGCCATATTGTTGAATGGCTGTTCGACCAGAAAGTCTTTTTATTGTTATTGTTCCTATATCACTCGAAAAAAACATTATAATATAATCAGGGAAACGATTATCTATTTGCCGGTGCATAAAGCTTCTGACCAACCGAAGTTTAATTTCTAAATACTACCATATGTCACATGATAATTGAAAAAATAAATTATCTGTTAATTAATTAATGAGTACCAACATTAAGCTAAATAACTGGCGAACGGCATATCTAATAAAACAGAAATAAGTTATGAGCTTAGTAAATACTCGTGTGATAGATTGAGATTGGACCGGTAACTTTTCACGTTAATTTGAAGATGTACCAAGTACTACCGAGTCCTGTACGTGCGTCTCATCTTTACACGTTTCACCAATGAGCTAAACTGTTGTAAACTGGGAATGGCATTTTGTTACCTTGGCCCGTGCAGACAAGTCGCCGCATTTACCGGTACGTAAGTACATGTACAGATATATGTCGGTAGTGATTCGTGAGAGCTTTCGGGGACTAACGATAAAATTATCGTTGTGCTGAATGTATCCCAGCCATTCAACATATCCGGGAGCCATATAAAAAAAGCCATAGTATTATTTTAGTATTATATCTTTAGTAGTATACCATTCACATAGTAACATGTTAACAGTTTTGCCGGCCACATACGTGTATTCATTTTCGCCTGGATGTAATAAATGCCAAGCCTCGTAATCCTTGTATTCAAGTGTGCATTTTTGATTTTTCACTGCGAATCTGAAATGACGCAAACAGGAACGGTTAAGGTCTTCAGCGTCCTCCAGTAATCAGGTACAAGATCAATCACGAAATGCGGGAAAATCGTTCACATTTCCCATAATTGCAACTGACTGAGAACAGATATTGCGAAACGGTATTACAGAACTGACAAAAGCATACTGAAAGAAAGCGAATCCATTGCGCCTTTTGAATTTAATAATTGTCATACCGCACGCTGCACAGCAATTGCTAACCCCATTCTAAGATACAAAGTCTAAGACACGAAGTCCAATCTTGAAATGAAAGCAGCCCACGCATACTGACAGAACTTGCTCAGTTTCCTCACATCCAAGCTGTCCAGATCTGCCAACGACCACTGCTGACGATAACAGCGCCCGGAGGAATGCGGGTCTGGCCTTTGGAACGCGTCCAGCAGCTACAGGAAATAACAGGGTTAGCGGTATTGATTTCAATAACTGTATATGCCATTGGTTCATCTCCACACAAATGCCCTATTATTGCATGAATTTTCAGCTTTTACAGTCTGTTTGTTAGTCTCTGATTTTGAGCTGCAAATTCTGAATTACTCGTGTTTTTTTGCGCCTATCATGTCCAGAGGCATGGAAATCCCTTGGTTCCCCGTGATTATTGTGAAGTTGTGACATTACGTCACACTACCTATGACACGGCTGCGATATAAACAACAGGTTTCAGATAAGAGACCACTCACCAGAACTGCCTCGACCAGCTTGTCGAAGACATTGGTTACCTTCCTGGCAATAAATTCATTGGTCACATACTCCAGAACCTCCATGTCCAACGGATCGCTGCTAGTGAGGTGCTGTTCAAACAATCCCAAATTTGTGCCGCATCGACATGGCGCAAATCGAGGACGGCACAGGGAATGCGGATTTCCATCTGCGCATCATCAAAGTGTAATTCATAGTCCTTCCAAATGACTCGCTTACAACAGGTCGCCAAGCTGGAATATAGAACGACGACGCTGTCCAAATGCTCCAGCAAGGTGCGATCGAACGTTTTGATGGATATCGATCGCTGATAGAGGATCAACCGGTGCAGACCGGCACCGGTTGCTTCCAGCGCTTCTTAGATTGATACCATCGCCTGACCGGCCGCCAGGCAGCGCTCCTGCTCCATGCTATTATCATGTTCCACTTTTCTGTCGCGCAGACAGACAGTTCGCGTAGCGGCGGTCATGCACTTGATGATGCAGCCGTGCAATGCGAAATCCGCGCTCCAGTCATTCGCCACCCGGCCGGAAAAGCCGGGTTGCGAATGTCTTGAGTCTTGTCTTACGTCTTGAGCCAGTACAGGCGACGTGAGAATCTCCTCCCACAGACAGCAGGTACGCCGCAAGCGCTGCCGCTCGATGGTGTCCAGTGAGAGGAAGATCTCAGTCAACAGTTCCGGTGGCAGCGACAGACTGATGCCGTCCGAGTCGGCTTCGTTCGTCGTTAGCTGCAACTCGGAGTCGGCTTCCAGGGTCAGCCGTTTCTCCAGTTCCAACCGTAGTTGCACCTACATTAAACACAGCGCTGCATTTGCAAAAGCTTTTTTATCTTGCAGCTTTGAAAAAAGATTTTGGGACAGCATGATTTCCGTCAAAGGAATACTATTACTCAAAGGCCAGAGCGTAACCGCGTGAACTTGAATCCGTACAGAGCGTGTATATGTATTGTAAGAGTTAGTACGCCTCTGTCGCACAAAACTTGGTTTCATCGTTTGAACGAAGAAATATTCCGTTTTGTCGACGGGTTTTTGCTCAGCTGGTCTGTTGTACTGGTAGTTCGACGGAAATAATACAATTATTATTATTCAAATGCCTGTATTAGTGATATAAAAAAAATTTTGCACAAAGAAATGCGCGGAAAACAACTGCAGACTTACTGCGTCGCTTGTTGTCAGCGACTTATGAGGCTTCCGTTGGAGGTAGCGAACAGTCTCATCCAAACCCGATAACAACAAGCAAGCACGTGATATCCGCTCAACATCCCCACGAGGGAATCTGGCTGGCCTATTGTGCTTCCGCTTCTGCCGGTTTTTTCTGGCAGCGCTGCATGTTCTAATTTGGAAATGACCGGGCTGCAGAGTTCTCATTTCGAGCGCCTCGAGCGATAGACGCGGTCGAATTTGAATGGAGGGCAACAGTTCGCGGACGGGATGCGGGCCAAGCATTGCCTCCACCAAAGCGTATTTACCCTCCGCAATCTGGCCCTTAACTACATTGACGGGATACCATTTCCATGGCTGGTCGGGATGGGTGCACAGAAGCGCCACCTTGGTGAGTAGGGGATTCTGATAGTCGGCATTATCTTCTGCTTGTTGCGAGCAATCGAAAACCTTCCCATAATCCGCCAGAGTCGACTGCTGAGACTGACAACCGAAATCAATAATTAGACGCGGCCGGCGTCTCTGGACCTTTTTCAGTCCAATTACATGTCCGTGCTGCAAGAGTCATTCAACCTCCACATCCACCGCATTCCACACATACGTCGATCGTTTAATATCTTCATACAGATACAGTTCCCTCGCAGAACCGGCAGAGCGCTGAGCCGTTTTTGGTATTTACAGAAGAAGGCCTGCCAAACAGCTTCGCGTCTCCTGTAAGTGATTAAGGGACCGAAGTAAAGACTGCGTTTGCACTGCGATCGTTATAAACTGTGAAGAAACAGTGCTGCTTTACAGCGTCTGTGCGCGATTATTACCTGTATATATACAGACAGCACTTCAAGCGTTCCCGATAGTGCTACAGCAGCGAGCTGCTCGCGGCATTTTTATACATACCGGCATTTGTGACAGTGCAGCCGGCAGCGCGTGCTACTGCTGACTGCGTGGCAAGTGATGAATAAACTGTACATACCGCAGTTTTCTACACTGGGCGCGATGAAACGGCTAGCCATGCTATAATACTGTGTCTTACAAAATACTGCTACGAGTATACATTAGCTTAACTAATAATAATGTCTCCTTATATGTACATCATAGAAGTATCGTTCTTGCGCCTGCCCTAATCTATTTATATGTGTTTTGGAACTCAGCTCAGCTTATAAAGCGCCGGCTGACATTTGTATCCTTTAGCTTATTACTATCATTAAAGCTCACAGTAACATCCGCGCCTTTACGAAACAAGCACGTAACAACTTGGTGGCTCCAGGGCCGTTGACTGTTTTACTCAGTTAACACGAGCGCCCATGATAAACTTTGTTCTTTAAAGTATCTATACATACCGCGATACTTTTGTGACCTTTCCACAATTTATTTACGTATTTCGGATTACTTGGACACCTTGCAACCCTCTCCACCAGCGATTGTTATGCCGTAAACCGGTACGTACGCTACGCAGCTAATGTCTAACATAGATGCCGCAAAAGAAGAAGCCCAGTTCCGGGAAGAAGAATACTTCTCCAACGACAAATCATCCGCTAGCGAACGTGACGACTCACCAAATCGAACAATTCTTCGAGTTGATTTGCCGCAACAACCCCCAGGGATATCCACTCGTTCTCGACTCCATTTACCAGCTATACCAATTCACGATCAGTACGCCGCCCTTGAACGAGCAAACCGCCCAGCCAAAGCCATCCAGCCGCAAAAAGCGAACGAAGCAAACGAAGAGAACCAACAAGAAGAAGTAACTAATCCACGTCTCTTCTTCGACCCAATACCTGAACCACCACCTCGTCCAGAAAGTCCACCTTATATCCAACCACAAGAAACATCGTTTTTCGAACTGTTGTCAAAGCGTTATCGTGAATTCAACAACAAAATGACTAAAGATGAGGACACTCGTTAACCACGCGAATGCCATCCGTGCGCAAATGGCCACCACCGATTACTTGCAACAGCAACTGCAGGAGATTCGGAAGTTAGCAGAGAACGGTGCCGGTGCGACTGACATCATTAAAGGTATTTCTGAGACGCATAAGAAGAAAGTGCCAACTAAAGAGTTACCACAGTTTGCAAACAAAGAAGACGAAGATTTCGAGGATTGGTTATTAAAGTACGAAATCTGCATTAAACAGCACGACTGGACTAACGAAGACGCATTTAATAATCTGTACCGTGCATTCAATGGCACTGCCCTGCGCATATACAACGCGCTGCCTGCTGAAGGGACATGGACAGAAATGAAGAAGCTGCTACGCGATGCCTTCGCTAAACAGCTGTTCGATTACGACTTGGCTAAAGACACCAAGCGCTCACTTACGTACGCTGGTAATCCCAACGACTACTACGCCAATGTAATGCGATACCTCAACTCTATTTCTGACTCGCCGACCGAACGCGAAGTTGTGAATAAGCTGTTCGATGGACTGCCGCCGCAACTGAATTCAGGATTTGTAAGCAATATGCCATCTACGCCGAACGAATTCCTCATTAAGCTGAAAGAGGTAGTGAGAGAGAAGGCATATCAGACTAAGCAGTGGGAAAGAGAAGTTACCGACTGTGTGAAGAATCCTGTCATTGCCGCCTTATTCAATAACAGTGCTGATTCACGCCACAGCAATCCAAATATGGATGAACGCCTACCTGCGATTGAGAGAGCAATTGAGAGGATGACATTGAACGGATCCAGACCTTATATGAACCGTCGTTTCGGCAGAGGCGGAGGAGGAAACTTTAGAGGACAGAGAGGATACACACGAAAGTTCTGTAATTACTGCAAGCGTACCAACCACACCATTGATGAATGCCGGCAACGAAATAAAAATAATCAAGTCCAAAGGAATATTCAGCCGTCGTATGCCAACATGCTGCATCAGCCAACCGTTCATGCTTTGCCGGCTCCGCAATATTTAAACTGAATACCACAGCTTCCTGGCTCACGAAGCTGTGGATCGTAAGTCACTAATACCTATCTGTCATTTCTATACAGGCGCTTTATCATTTAACCTTTTCATTAACAATGAGCCACTCATCGCTATTATAGACACTGGGTCTGGTATTTCTTTAATCAGTGATCGTGTTGCATCAAAGTATTTATTTACTCGAATGAATTATAATGGACCTTCGCTTGGGACAGTTTCTAATACAATAGTGCGACCAATAGAAGCATGCCGCATGGACATTCAATTATTAGGATTTAATGCCGAACTAACCGTAGCAATCCTACACAATTTTCCTTTTGATTTATTATTGAGCAATGATTATTTAATTACTACTCCGTTCCTATTAAGTTTTGTGAACAGCCAGCTGGTCAACCCGGAGAATCAAGAATCTGTTCCTGTCGCCTGCGTACGCATACCCACTTCATACAGTATATTGCCTAGTTCAACCTTGAACCTTCGTGGCCTTGAATCGACATTAAGCGCGCAACCTCCCATCAACAATGCCGGTTCAACCGTGAGCGTTCATCGTAAACTGGATACAAGCCGGAATGAGTCTGCAGCTCCCGTTCCCGGCCTCGGCAACATGGCAGCACGTGCACGAACAGATATACAAGTGGATCCACATACAGAATTTAAAGATGAGAAGTTTATTAGCCCCACTGACCTGCTACAAGATGCCTCTCCGGAATCACAAGACGTCTCCATGGAAGAATTTTCTAATCAATTTAATTTCGGCAAAGATATGTCCCAGTCCCAACGTCATCAGATGCTTCAATTACTATATAAGTACCGTACACTATTCCCCTCGAAAGAAAAGAAAGTTGGAAGAACCAACAAAATCAAGCACGTAATCGACACCGGATCAAACCCTCCTGTGCACCAAGCCTTACGACGCCATGCCCCGTGGCAACGCGAATTCATCAACAAGCAAGTACAACAATGGATAGAAGAAAAGATAATAACTCCCTGCAACTCCGAATGGGCGTGTAACATTGTTCTAGTACCGAAGAAAGATATAGAACTCCGTCTATGTATCGACTTCCGTGCCACTTCCCCTTCCGAGGATTGATGATTGTCTAGACGTACTGCAAGGATCAAAATGGTTTACCGGCCTGGATCTTCTTTCAGGATACCTTCAAGTTGAAATGCACGAAAACTCTAAAGACAAGACAGCATTTCTTACACCGGAAGGAGTCTACAGATTTGAAGTGATGAGATTTGGACTCTGTAATGCCCCGGCTACATTCTCACGTCTAATGGACAGTACTTAAAGATTTCAAGTTCAAGTTCGTCATTGTTTACCTGGACGATGTTCAAGTATACAGCCCTTCTTTCGAAAATCACCTGGATCATTTAGAACAAGTCTTAATAAAATTCCTCGATGCAAACCTGATGCTAAAGCCTTCGAAATGCCATTTCGGATGCAACAAACTCAACTTCCTTGGACATACAGTAACACCTGACGGAATCTCACCTGATGCAAATAAAGTAGCAACTATACAGAAGTTTCCCGTGCCGACAGACTTAAAGACATTGCGTTCGTTCCTTGGCGCTGCCAATCGTTATCGAAAATTTATTAAAGATTTTTCTCCCATTGCCAATCCTTTGAATCGTCTCACACAAAAGGACCAGCCGTTTCTATGGACTGAAGAACAACAATTTGCCTTTGAAACCCTTAAACAGAAATTGGTCAGCAAGCCTCTACTGGCACACTTCGACCCGAATAAGAATCTCATTCTGGAAACAGACGCCTCAATGCTAGGACTTGGCGCAGTACTCAACCAAGTGGACAACAATGGAAATGTACAGCCAACAGCCTATGCCTCAAGAAGCCTCACCGCATCAGAAAAGAACTATTCCACGACCGAACAAGAGCTGGCCGCCGTAGTTTTTGCCGTAGAAATTTTTCATCCTTACGTCGGAAACCCTGGAAAAACCTTTGACATAATAACAGATCACAACGCCTTAACTGGACTCTTGAAAGCGAAAAACCCAACTGGACGCCTAGCCAGATGGATCTTAAGATTACGCCCTTACAACATGTGAATTGGATACAGACCTGGAAAAATTAACAATATGGCAGACTGCTTGTCAAGATTTCCTTACGACGCAATAGACGTCCCACCTGAACACCAGCTTTCTACTCCATTATTTTTCTTAGAATCTTTTAACATCGCCTTAATGCAACAGCAAGACTTGTATTGTTCAAAGATTATTGACACCCTCCGTGGAGATACGACTACCACAAATTATCGCCAGAGAAGAGTGCATTTTGTAATCAAGAACGAGATCCTTTACCGTATTGTTTTTCGCGACAACAGAATGAATTTCCTTCTTATTGTGCCTGCAGCACTACAAGAGACAGTGCTAAAGAACGCTCACGACACCTCCGGACACTTTGGAGTTTCCCGTACTTACGAAAGAATTCATCAGAAGTATTACTGGACAAACTGCATTAAAGATGTTTTTCAATATGTAACTTCCTGCAAGTCCTGCCAGATTTCAAAGTCGCCGAACAGTAAACCTTCTGGATACTTACAACCACTACCAGTTTCAGGACCGTTCAATACTGTTGGAATCGACTATCTTGGCCCGTTCACAACAAGTTCTAAAGGAAACGCCTACCTCATCGTGGCAATAGACCACCTAACGAAATGGGTTGAAGCGAAAGCTGTGCGCTCCGCAACCGCCTCGAACGCCGCACATTTTTTAATTGATTTTATAGTTTACCGCCATGGAACACCTAGAAGACTCCTTTCCGACCGTGGAAAACACTTCGGTAATTCTCTCATGGATAATTTGTTA